TGATTAGGTACATTTCTTACGTCAAATGAATAATTATTTTGAACGGAAAATTGTAAAGTTCATAACATTTTATATTGTGTTTTTCGGAATTACCACAAAAGTCCTTAAATTCAGAGTACCACAAATATTAGAGGTTTATAAAAGTTTAGATTTCGTAAACCCCTCATTTTAACTCAAGTTTTGTGATTTGTTGTATTTTTAGCCCTTTTTCAAATTAGTGGTATTTTTAAAACTAAAACTTATTTTGTTATGTTTTGGGATATTTATGTGTATGTATATATTTTCATAAACAGTTAAAATATTTATTTTTGAAAACATATGGAAGTCTCGAAATTTTGCTGTACGTAGATTTAATATCGTACATTCGATATTAAAACAAACAAATCCAGCAGTTAAAGATTATTCTTGGATTAGCATACGATAATACATTCGATAATCTAAGAAATGACAAAGTGATGATTATGAATGATCAAGTAGGTTTACTATTTACTTAGTATTTCATATCTTTTACCTTCACCTTCAGTTCATGTATATATGTTATATTGACAAAAAAAAAATTTTCCACTTTTGTTTCTTTTTATGATCATGACTTCCATACAATGGGGTTCATAATTTATTTATTTTACTGTTTATGGTTAGAGTTACTCATGAACGATCCACCATTCCTAACTGAGTTTGTCACACAAGTGATAAAGGTATATAGAATAAATTGATCCTTTCATAATAGTATTTTATAGTGCTTGAAATAGTTGACTATGATTTTAACAAGTTCCATAAACATATCAGGCTACACACAAGGGTAAAGGTGTGCAATAATTTTACTCAATGCATGAGTATGAAGCCTGAAAAAGATACATAAACTGATGGATATATCATAAAAAACTATTAGGTTGGCTTTGTGATGTAACTTTTAAGAGAGTTGTATATTGTCTTGATACGAATTTTTTTTTCTATATTTCCATGGGATGGGTACATACACGGATAAAGAAGCGAAGATTATTTATAGAATTTGATTTTCTTAAAAAGAAATTGATTTGGTATTAACACTAATAAAGATGAAGATGATAAAACCATTATAGTTACATTCAGTAAAGAGAAGGTAGAAGCTTGGAAAGAGTGGGTTAACAATTATCAGGTACGGATGATAATTGAGTTATCCTGAAGATGTTCTTTGATATCTTTATGTACTGATGTCAATCTTTTTTCATTCAGAAAAACACGTACTTTGACCGGACTTGATTGAAGCAAATTAGGATAAAAGATTTTGTAAATAAAGAACTCATCTCGTTCTCCGTAGAAGACAATCATTGGTCCATCCCTTCAAAGTTTGATGGAAAAAAACTTAAATACCGAAAATTTTTACCTTGCAAAGTTATAATC